ATATATATTCTCATATACAAACAAAAATATTACAATAATTTTAGAAAATTTTGAGTCTTGAATTGAGTTCAAGTAATACTTGCATCAATGCAAATTCAATTAAATCAAGCCTAAAAATTTTCTAAAAAGATTATAATATCCTTGCTTATATATGAGAATATTTATTCTTGATTTAAGATTAATTATTTTTTCTATGTAATAATTGGTATGTAATAATGTAACAATTCCCAGTCCATCTATAAAAATATACGTCTGGATCTGGTACAATACTGATAAGCCTTTTAACAGAAGCGAAAAAGAAAACATCGGCAAATCCAAGGTGCGATATTCTGGAAACGTTGATCTTCGGCCTTAGGCGGGTAAGAATCGACGGGAAATGACGTAGCCCTTTTTGCCCATTGTTTTGACACTCGTGCGTCGTATACAAACTTTCTCGTGCCCGAGTCATAACGTATCGACGGCGGACGGACGACGTGCACGTACTGCGACGTTGCGTGCGTGTATCACGGTAATTTAGCCTTCATTCTGGTTCTCAAAATATGCAATTGGGCTTTCTCGACATCGCGTTCATTAATATGGTTTCTTCGATTGAATCGTGTCTACGCGAGTGTCAGTACCACGACGGAATATTCGGAGCAGCCGGGAACAGAATGCTAAATCGAGGACAGCGACGCGCCATATATATCGAGGTGTGTTGAATCATTTGTTATACAGCACGTTTCCGGCTTTAACCGGCATTTGACGAACTCGCCGAGAACAAAGAGATATTCCGAGTTGAAATTTAGGTCGGCATATATAATTCGTGGTATTTATCAAATAATTTTTGCTTCATAAATCGCCGATTATTCGTTAATCTGTATCAGTATTTATTTCATACAACAAAGAATATTGATCAGAAGCCGAATAACGGCTCGTAAATACGAATTTTTGCGACCAATTCTTCTCTCACAATCTACAATCAATGATCGTAAATTTACAACCAAGAGTACTAGCCTTGAAGTTTAGTCTGAGTCTCGCGAGTGTTAATTCACACGTCTAATAATTCTCGTTGGCAAGCTCGATCTTGTTGACAACCGTCTCCTTTTCGCTTCTATTTTTCATTGTTATAGTACCGACGCAAATTTACATTTTTATTAGCGCACAGCATCACTGGGCAAGCAACAATTATCTGTTCCTTTACAACTTTTTTTCTCCTCCAATCTCTTTGAGTCTCCAAATCCTAATGCGAAATTCCCAATGCCAACGAAAGGAAATATTGAGACCAGTCTTCACAATACGAATTATTCCATGTGACTGAGACATTGCATGTGAGCGAGATATTTTGCGCTTGGAATTTTTTTTGGAAAAAAGGTCAAAAGGCTTCCGCGTCGCCTCGATATCGGTTATCCCTCTATACTCGGTGTATCAGGAGTAAGGTGAATACCCGGGTAAGTCTTGACAAGTGGTTGGCGGGCTGCCACGTACGGCTCGATAGCGCCGCAAAAGCGCGACACCGCGTCGAGGCCGCGAAGCGGTATCGACATAGCCGGCGGTTTTTTGGCCCAAAAACTGGCCCGATTTCGCGGCACGGTCAGTCGGACAATGCGTCGCGTAACGAGCGCATTGTCCGCGACGGAATTAAATCCGCGAGGGCGAAACGATGGTGCCGTCGCGAAACTGCGAGACTCGCACCGTCGCGAGATGTAAAATGGCGGGGGCCCTCGTTCCATTTTTAGACCGGCGCAATCCGTTTTTTAACGTCCGCTATATTTATCCGACCGTTCTCGCCAGCGCGAAACAACGAAAATGAAGAACGGCGGATGCATTTCCGCGCGGCGCTGCGAAAATGCGCACGAATAATAATATGATTGGTGAGCCGGGCTCTGCGCGGCGTTTAATTAAAATGCTCACGCTATTTATCGAGAGTCTACGGCTTGGCGTCCGACAAACGGAATATTCGAGCGATGATTATTCCGTCGAGGTAGCTTCCACGTAACGAAATACGATATCCGACAAAATAACAATTTGCGGCCCGCACAGATCGCCATTGGCGTTGCGAAATTGTTCGAAATTACGGGAACGAGAAACCGCGGCGATCATGTATTTTTCCTTCGCTGTCAACGTTTCGCGAGGAAGATTGTGAGAAGAGGATAGTATTATGTTATAGAAAGAGATGGGCGAACGAGTCGAGCAACGGGGGGGAATCGATTTCTCGCATTCGTTGAAAATTTGCGCGTACGTGAGCCATTCTCGAAGCCTGCAGGAAACGCAATCGCGCGCCGATGCCAAATTTCGAGCGTTGCAAATAGTACGAGCGCCGTGTGACCGTACTACGAGATCCGACGACGAATTCATTGTTAAAACAGGGTTTCCTCGGCGCTCCCTCAGAGACACACGTATGCTCGTGTGTAACGAAACGTCCGCCGAACGTTCGCGAAATCTTCGCACATCACGATAGGGGCGGCCGTTGTCAGCGAGAGGAACTTCCAAGTTCCGAGAGCGACTGATCGGTTACACGATCGTCTGAGCACTCGCCCCCTTGACACCATTCTTCAGCTTGCCTTGAGTTTCCGGCGCATTGTCGCTCTGTCGAAGCCGAGGCGCGTCTTCGTCGGAGTAAACTCATTTATGCCGGCGTGAGTTACGAGAGCGGGATTATGCGTTTATTTTCACACACACATACGCTGCAGTGACCGAGATCGCTGACGTTGATCCGGAAGAACCGTAACTTTATCGTCGAGAGGGAACTTCCTCGCGCGCGATACGGTTAACATGCGACGCGATGGATCACTTAACGATATCCTTGATCATTTGCGCGTGTTCGCGTGTTCTGAGCGCGAGCTAGGGACGATGTGGAGCGGCATAAAATATCAATATTTTGTATCGATATCAATCGAAATATATAATACTGATACACCGAATTATTGATTACGAATGTATCGATATTAGAGTATATCATTATTTTTTGATACGTCTTTTAGATATTATCTTATTTGTTGAATGATGATAAAATACTTAATTCTATGTATTGTCAAAGAGAAATTTAAGAGCTGTCATACTGGCGTATTTCGACGAGCCTCCTGAGAAAATGCGTACGAACTGCGCCCATTTAGTTCGCGTCCGTATTACTTTAATAACCCTTGATGAATGAGGTCATATTAATTTCTGAAGACAGCATTCGAGAGTGTCTTGAAATGAGAATGTATTTACGAGTACATTGCAAATTTAAACTGGATAATTTTACACACTTATGTGTATAAAATAATGTAGTCGGATTACATGATTTTAAATATATAAGTGCATAAAATTACACGCTTTGGATTTACAGTGTATCATCCAATAACGGATCACAATCAAATTGTGCCTTGTGTCGAATCAATTGATGGGCTTTTAACCGATACGCTACGATATTGAAATTCAAAGTATTAACGCAAAATATTGAATATCAAATGGCCTTATATCGATGTTTCAAAGTGTCGATACGAATCGGGACATCCCTAGCGCGAGCTCATCCGAGACCGCGTACATTGGACTGGTAGATCGGAAACAGTGGTCATAATTCGAAGTTTAATTAGATTGCCACCAAAGCTATATTTAATAATATGTCAGATCGATATTAATTATAAATCCGAATCCGGATTATAAATCCGAAATCAGGTATATAGAATTGAAAATGGTGGATTCAATATAGCAGACAAAAATACAAAAAGTAGTCGTACTTTAATATTGACTTGTTTTTATGGGTTTTTAGACTTACAATAGAATACAAATCCAAGATCAGAATTACAAAGTAAAAATGGAGGATCTATAGTAGGCCAAGATGTTAACAAAAGTAGTTGTATTTTAATATTGTTTTGTATCTAAAATGAATACTATTGTGCTAATTAGTGAATATTTCCATGAAGTGTACGAAAACGAGTAAAAATGGGCATAATTTTCTTAAAATATTTATAAATATTCATTTATGATGTCTTATTTTCAATGATGGCTGCAATGACGTCGGGTTTCACCAGAGTTAAAAACTAGCTATACAACTATCATGAAACTTTGGAAAACGCTGTATGGTATCTGCATATTACATAAAAATATTCTTCTAATATTACTTTCTGAATTGAACTCTGCCATCCTATATTGCCGTAGGGCGCGTAATATCGCGCGCATAATTAAACGCACCGCACACACGACTCACCGCGTCCGCCGCAGCAACGTTCCATTAATAAACCGCGGAATTTGAAACATCCGTCTATTGACAGAAATGCATTACGATACCGCCGCCGACTTGTTTACACGTGCCGTGAGAATATAAATCGTACTCGCGCGGCTCAACGGTGTCGAGTACTCAACCGTAGTGGAAGAAAGGTTGCGACACTTACCTCGATGAACTTCGGAAGGTCGAATCATAAATCTCCTCCTCCGGCGTGAACTCGTGAAAAGTGAGCGCTTTCGAGAGCTTTTTCGAGCTGAATTCGAGGGAAATCCTCACTCGCCACGAATTTACGCCGAAAAAACATAATCATGATCGACTCGTCGAACGCATCAGCGATATCCGGCAGGAAAATCTCTTTCCTGAGGGTTACTTAAAAACGAATTCTCCTACCGGGCACGAGATATAAACTCATTGAGAAAAAGAAGGCGGTATTGCAACAACCTGTCTTCCACTGACTATACCACGTAGCACGTATAAAGTCATTCCGAGTACAAAAAACAAGCTCGCTCTTCGAAATTGCATCTCGTCCTCACGGTAAACGTACGTACGTACACTAGACGCACGATTTAAGATACGTTTCGACGACGTTTCGCGCATTAAAGGACCGACCGATCGACCATCATCGAGTTAACGATCAGCGAGAACGGTTCCGTGGGTGTCCCGAGACTACCACGAGTCCCACACAACGCGCTCGTCGTCATTATTCGCGCGCTTTCGGAGCGTTTGAACAGGATCGAAGTGTCCCGTAATGCGACATCATTATCGACGAGACTCGATCGGGGCTCGATGCGAGAGACAAAGAGGATCGACTTACTCGGCCTTTCGTTGTCGGCATCCTCCTTACCGCAGGGGTACGACTGCCGTTGTGAATGATGGTGTTTATGATGACGACGGTGTCTCCTCTCTCCCGGCAGGTGCACGCCTACGTACACCGTGTGCGCCCTGTGACCTGGAAGCAGATGAAAGGAACGATCTCGTCACACAGTGTCTCTCTCGACCGCGGGGCGGTGGTGGTGATGATGGTAGTGGTGGTCGATACGCGGGCGGATTTAGCGTGACTCTCTCTCTCTCTCTCTTAGGACGAAGTGGCACATGCGAGAAGCGCACGCGGCTCTCTTTTCGTCGTACGAGGGAAAATTAGATCGGTGACATTCGATCGCGTAAGGATCCCGCCGCGAACGGAAGGCGCACGCGAACCGGGGCAGCGGGGTTCCCGCGCGAAGACGAAAGGATGATCTCTTCCTATTCGTGTCTCGACCTCGATGGGCTCCGATTTACACGGGGATTGTGCACGAAACGCGAGCAGTCATTACGCGCTCGCGTGTGCACGGCTGTTTCGACGTAAAATGAAAATACGTCAACAGGTGTGCACGTGTGCCGATTTTCTGATAATGAGCGAGTGTAAATGTGCGCTTACGACGATCATAGGGGTGTATTAATTAATAAAATGTAACATTCGTACACGGAGGAAGCGGACTGGTTGAATTATGACGCGGTAATGAACGAAATAAATGTGTTCTCATCGAAGGAAACAGAATTTCTATTATCCCGTTATTAAGTTGAATTAAATTAAAATTAAATCAAATTTAGTTCAAAGAATTACACTAAGAAACTAATTTGGTTGGATCAGTCTGAAAATGGACAACCAAATATATTTTGATTGAAGAAAATAGAATTTAATCTTTATTATCAGAAATTCTGAATTTCCTTCAACATATTTAGTTGTCTATTTTCAAATTGATCCAATTAAGCTGATTTCTGTATGTAAATCACTGAACTAGATTTGATTTAATTTTAATTTAATTTAATTTATTAATGGGGTGATTCCCTTTTATGCAGATTATATATCAGTACAGTATAGTAATATATAGTATTAATTAATTAATAATGCTTCTTGTGATAGCGTTTATAAACATATCGAGTTATATTAAAAAATCGACAGCACCCAAATATTGGTTAGCAAACATATTAATGCGATTAACTAATTAAATTCGGCTTTTAGAATCAGGAATTCTGTTCCCTTCAACCAAAACGCATCCGGCTTGTTCATTATCACGTTAATCAATTTATCACAATCTTTTTTCGCCAAGACGCACTCGATTTGTTTATTATCACGTTAATTCAACCAATCCTTTTTTTCTTCGTGTACTTTGAATCGTGTTCTTCGAGTATTTTGAATATCGATATACACTGATAGAAAATTATAGTTATTTTCGGCGCCAAAAGTACGCTTTTTAATTTGACTATAAAAATATAATAGCAGCAATATGTAAGGTTATTATCATTATTGCTATAGTAAATGTTACTCTATAGTGTCTAATTGTTGCTACTATTTTTGTGATTAAAAGTAATTTGGTGTCGAAAATAACTATAATAATAATTTTCTATCAGTATGAGCGTAACTTTCTCTCGAACACGATACATATGTTGGCTTATGTAATAAGTGATTTTAGATTTTCTTTTGGAAAATCTATTGGAAAATCTGAAATTACCTATTGCATAACTACGTGGTTCGCTGCGGTATGTTACCCTATGTGACATTATACCCTATGTGATATTTCGTAGATTATTTCAAATCTGAGTAAGCTTGCGCTTGCATCTGTCGGTGAATTGTTACTCGCTGTACCGTTATCACACGAGGATTATGTCGCATCAGGAATTATCTCATTGTTGCCTATTTTCCGATGTTGATTAGCTATCTCGAGCTTGATGCAGGTCCTTGCTTACTTTGATGGTCGTCACGAGCAGCTGTCATCGCGTATATTATGTATATTGACGGTTTAAATGTTAAAGGTTGATTCGATACTGCGGAATAATGCATAACGCAGTATTAGGATATAGAGAACATTATTACGAAATAATGCATAATGCGATATCACGATATAAAGAACATTAAATTCATGAATGAATTGCCTAACGGGACTCCAGAGCAAGTTTCACCGGCTGAAGGTCACGTGACTACAGAAAGAACACATACATAACGTAAGCAAGTGTCGAGCTATCATAACAATCTTTGATGCGAGGGTAAACGGAGAGACGACGTGTATGATTTACGATTTTTCTGAATCGATTCAAGTGCGTGCGAGACGCATTTTGTTATTTCATATGCGTAATCATTATAGTGAGATCGTCTTAAGCAGTGATATTCTCTCGAATCTTTAGAGTAATTATTATATTTCATTTTTGTTGATTTAACAGAAAAATATATTGTCTTGAACTTCTGTATTGTGTTAATAGGTTAATATCCATTGATATACACATTAACCCGTTGCGGCCTTATGTCGAGCGTCACTCGACACAGCGTTTCGTTCCAGCAAGTCCTATGTCGAGTGACACTCGACACCGCGTTTCGTTCCAACGCGTCCTATGACGCGTCAGAGTCGACGTTGACAGAGTCTTCATCGTACGCTAAAAGAGATAAGATAAGAGCTGCGGTGTAGCATCATAAAGTTTTCCAAAGTAAACGGTACCAAGCGGATGAGCGATTGGCGAAATCTGTGCGGACCGGCTGGGACGAAATTGCGAATACAGCGCGGACCGCAACGGCTTAATATAGCTAGTTAGAAAATTTAATTTTTTTTGTTTCAGATCTGATGTAGTTTGCAACTTTACAGCGGGTGTGGTTTCTGAAAAGTGCAGGATACCGTATCGAAGGGTTCGATTCGGGCCAAGCAGGGTCGGCTCGCAGGTGAGTTTATAGATTTCCCATACTCTTACACGATCTGAACGATCGAAAAATGGGACATAGTGGGGATAGTTATCAAAATAAAAATTATTAAAATATAATCATCAAAGATCAATTCCCTCGGACGTGTATTTTTCTCGCTATTAAAGCATCAGTTGTATCTTTAATTGGTTGTTATATTTTTTTTTCAGATCTATAGCAGAACATGGCGGATCCTAAGTTCCTGCTTTCGAATCAACAACAAAAATGTAAGGTAGTGGGTATATTTATGTGTTCATATATCAAGAAAAAAATCAATGCGATTTACTTAGATGAGAGATTTTTGCACGTACACTGAGAAAAGAAATAACTAGTCTCACCATGAATTATAGTCATTTTCAACATCGGCCATATTCTTTTAAGTGCACTAACAAAAGTGTAGTAGTAGTAATATGCATACAAGGTTATTGTCGATAACATTGTAGTAACACTTACTATAAAAATAGCCTTCCCGTCTATAATTATTTCACTAAGCAATTATAGTCACGAATACCAAATACTTTTTTCTCAGTGTAGGATTTCGCATGTATGTGTTTGTGCCGTCCATTGAAATAATGCTCGAAACAATTAGCGGATTGCTTTTTTAAATAATCATTTTATTTGCTAGATATACTTGAATATTGAATATTGTTCTTAAAGATACTAATACTTGATATATTTTTTCGATTCATCCGGTATAATCCCGCAATTATTTCGAGCGTCATCGAATGCGCATCAGAATTGCGTTCCAAGATTGCGCATCAGAAATGCGCCATTACATGCGAAAAGCGCGATTACTTGCTTCGTTCGCGATAAATTTTACGATAATCGCTATCATCAATTTTCTAAATTTTTCACGCGCGACATATTATAATATTATCTCTGTCGAAATGATCGTTGTATTCAACATGCGCACGTATCACTTCTGTTAAAAGTTAGAGTTTTCTTGAAATGAAAATTGTGTTTTCTTATAAAGTACAATCGGCCGACGGAATGTTTATTTTCTTGCCTTTGATGTTAAATGCGGTCTTCGGGTCGCGATCTGTTTATACATGACTCGCGAGTGCGTCTCAAAGCATCGGAATATAATGTGCTTGTCGTTAAATCATTAAATAACCGTTAATCGTTGTTAATGTTAAATCGTTAATCGTTGAAACAAACGCGAGTGCAGTGTAGGTAAAATGCGACTGATAGACAACGACTGGATGCTGAAGGCTTGGAAAGAAGAATCATCGAAACTCTCTATCTTTTTCCACGGCTGGACATTGCGGGAAATCGCGCAATGGTGAGTGTGCAATCAGAACGCTCACAAAGCGGCGAATAACGTAGTGCATGCGGCATTTAGATAAAATTGCATTGATCGCTTTTTTAAAAAAAGCTACCGAGCGAAGAGTGACAGTGTAGAAATCTTTCCGTCTACTATTATAAACATGAAAAATGAAAGATATTCAAATGACAGATAGGTGTTCACATTATACGTGCCGTTAAAGTCACAAAAGATTACACGTGACGTATTACTCGGGTAATATAGGCGAACATTAAAGTCGAGAACTACGCGACATGTGGCAGCAAAATGACGTTTGATCAAAATATTTACGTATTGGATATGCGTTTTGATATTTATTACCTTGACAGATGTGTTTTAATAAGTACTTTCGACTCCGCATTGCGCGATATTAAAAATTGAAATCCCACCTACACGGAAAAAATATTGTGGTAAAAATTATCGCAAAATTTTGTAATGCTGAACCATACTGGAATTATGATTGAAATTATAATGTGTATTATAATCTTTAGTGATGTATATTTCATGGATATACATCAAAACTCGTGGCAATTTTTACTGCAATATTTTCTCCGTGTACATTTTTTTCGAACGTATACTCTTTACATTACATACATGTTATACATTTTTCACGAACAAAATATTCCTATCTTTATAAAAAAAGAAAAAAAAAACAAATGGTTCGTAAAGAAAGCAGTATTTATACTTAGCATATTAATCTAGATTTCAATCTGGATCTCTCAAACGAAAGATTCACTTTTCACCTGAGAAGTGTTGTAAAATTGGCGGATTATGAATCAGCAGATTATTAATCGACCGTCCGTTGAAACTTTACTTCTAAAGCCCGCGAGGGGGGGGGGGGAGCAATCGTTCAATAAAGCTTCGATTCGTGACAAACGAAGGGAGTAAACGCCGACTAGGTGCGGCAATCGATCGATTTGTTTCGCGCCGGGGAGCTTCGCACGTTGCTGATTCGGAATCGTCACGACACATGCGGCCTCCATGCGCGGCGTTTCGTCCTCGACGACGGGCACGAGGTCAGCTCATCGCTATGTGCCCATCCGTAGTCGCCGTTGTTTAACGAAGTAACGATTTTCGAAGCACCTACACGTGCAAAAGGGGCGTCGTGTGAGCAAACACCGAAGCCAGATTCGTATCAGACTGACCTATACCGGCTGTATAGCTACGTTATTGCCCGTTGGAGACTTGACGCTTCAACGGAAGCTCGTCCTCGTGTCCTGCGCTTTATAAAATACCCGCGGCCGGAAATTTTATATGCGCGCTAAACGCTAAGAATCATCGAAACTCTCTATCTCTTTCCGCAGTTTTCGCGTCTATTTAAATATTGCGCATTTTGCGAGGTGAACAGTGACGCGAGCAAAATTGAACGAATATTTTATAACGAGAGATACGAACGTGTAAAATGTTGTGGTGTACGTTGCTTGACATTTTTCGCGGATAATTTCACTGTAGAAGACCGTAATGAGAGAGATTGAATTAGTTGCTAAAGTGAACTTTCGACGAGCGGGAAAACAAATTTATTCGGTCGTCATGGCTTTTTTCGTTACATGTTCGAATATTCAAAACGAAGCAGTGTAGTTCTGACATATTAAGGAATATTTTTGCATTGCTTTTCGCCAGTTAAATATTTTTATATAAAAAATTTATTTTGGTGCAAGAGATGGCATAAATTTGACGTATATTGCTGGTGAAAAAATTCACACGTCATTAAATTGCAACTGCGATCTTTCCCATCGAAATATCGAGGATAATGAGGGAGAATCCTCGAACGTATAACACATGCGAAGGTTACAGCGATAGTCGGCAAAAATAGGACGCGGATTCGGGTAAGTCGCATATAACCGCTCGATATCAACGAATCGACGCTTTTATACTCTACTAACCGACTTCGACATTTCGTTTTTGGTGTCGGATATTTTTACCGAATTTTTTCAATCCATATGTATGTGAATCCGTCACCTCGAATTTTGAATCGCGTTTCGCAGACTCCCACAAGTCACATTACAAAGTTCACGTGACATAATTTGGCAGTTGACAGTCAGTTGTATCATAGTAATTGAATTGGATTCGACAATTTTCTATTTTTCGCTAAAGTGAGTGGTTTCGCGAGTGAAACCTAGATGAAAAGAGAAAAGAGAGATTCGTTCAAATATTCGGTCGCCGTTAATTTTCATTAAGTTAATTGAACAACAAGAACTTCGGTTAATTCCATTAAGTAATGTAATTGTTGTGAGAGAGGATTCGGAAATCCGGGGCTGCTTACCTTCATAATCTTTTTCCGTGTAGGACTGGTGGGTGATCCGCGCACCCGGGTCCTTCGGGGCCTCATCGTCACCTGTCCCGCCCACGTGGGCCCCGCCGGTTCCGGCCCCCGGCTGCATCCACGGTCTGCAAAAATTAATTAAACGTCCGATTTAATTATCGCATCGCGACGACGACTCTTTGTCGACGCAACCGCAGCGTCAACGGACGCGCACTTCTATTATTAACGCACTAACGAGTTTCCAACTGAATGTCATCACGTCCGTTTGTCCGTGACTTTGCTCCCCCATTCTCTCTCTCTCTCTCTTTCTCTCTCCCTCTTTCTTTTTCTTGCTCCTTTTCTCTCTGCTTCTAACTTTGGAGCGTGCTACTATCGCTAATAAATTTCCTTCCGAGAAAGAGAGAAAGCGCACTTTCGCCGAACTGCAGTTTTATCATTAAAACGAGCTCCGCCGCAGTTATTATCGAATTCGTGTCTCGTCCGATTAATACACATCAAAAGTTCTCTGCTTTTGCGATAACGGGGGGGGCAGGGGAGGGGACGGTGGTAGGTGCGATACGTGCCAAGTGTGCACGTGAGCGCAAGATATTTCGTGCGTGTCCGTGACCGCGTGCAAGCAGCTATGTATGCGCGAGTTGATAATAATTAAACTTCCTCAGCCGGAGGCGCGTTGCTTCGCACAATTGCTTCCTCCTCCTCGCTTCTCTCTGTCTTCCTCTCCTTCTCTTTCTCTTTCTCCCTCTGTCTCCGCTTCCGTTTTCGTCCTATTAAATTTCATGCCCGTTTATTTCGGTCGTTCTTATTGCATTTGCTGCGCTCACGTCCGCCGTGGCTTAGCTATTTCCGTTTAACACTTGCTCTTAATATAAATATGTACCGTGGTTTATCGAAACACGAAACGGCAATTTAATACACGCTGTCTAGCGGTGTATCGCGAATTCTTTCATCAATTTTCTAGGTGTGTATCGCAAATTCTTTCATCAATTTTCAGACGATTATCTCTCTAGCGATGAAAGTGTAAATCGCTCCCGCTATAATCCGACTGCGCCCCGAATAACTTCGAGATTGCATTCCCCGGTAATTTCATGATATTGCATGCACAATAAATCACTTCCATAATTAACTCTTCCTCCGATGAAGTAATGCGCGCATTAATTATAGCGCGTATATTTTTACGTCGGACACACACGGCGTGGACACACATATGTCCCTGTCCGATTTGCGTTGATAGAAAATTACACACGGAAAAAAAGGAACTAACTCCCACAGGTGAAAATTAGCTTTCTATGTAATACAACTGAAATCTAGTTGATTTAACTAATTTTTTTGTTCCTCCCACAGCTAAAAATTAGGTCTGGTAACTAAATTTTAGTTGTATTATATAGACAGCTAATTTCTTCTTTCGGTGTAGTTATTTTCGGCGCCAAAGGCATTTTATAGTAATAGCAACGTGCATATAAGATCATTCACTATTATCATTATATTAATACTTATTAGAAAAATAGTTCTCTCGACTATTTTTGTGGTTAAAATAAAAAAAGGGTATGTTTGAAAATAACTACACGAAATAATTTTGCTAGCACAGCAGATTGTTAATTACTACGGTGACAATAGAAAGATTTATTACATGGAAAAAATAATTTTACCGTTGTAGCAAAACATTGTCGCGATAGTGATAAAATTTAGTTGGCATAACCAAATTATTTTTGCCGCCTGTATATCCGGCAAAAGCAATTAATACTCTCAACAAATCTTTCTGCTGCTTAAAGGAATTTTTTTACTACCTCTACAGTAACCTCTATAGTATCAATTTTCTGTACCAGCAAAATACTTTTCTCTGTATATAATTTTCTATCAGTGTGCAAACTGTCCGTCCGTTTGCTTTTTACAGGCGTTTCGCCATCCTCGCGGGAGATACATAAATTTCAACGCCTTCGCGAACGATGAATGAGTTTAGCGGGGATGAATTTATCGCGCGCGACGAGTTAACTCGGCCGCGTTTCGGCCGAAGCTTTCGAGGTGCGTGCATTTTCGCATCGACGCAGCATCTGTTCCCGCTGTTGTCATTGCCACGCGCGTGCTCTATTCTGATATCCGCGCTCTTGTCGAGCTTCGTTCGATCGGCCAATTGTACGAACCGTTCAAATCGACGCGACAGCGTCGAAGGCATCTCGCGACTTGTATTTTCTCGTTTCGCGCTACGTGTTGCGCATTCCGGGCTTGCGTCGCGAGCGCGACAACCCGGCAACTTTCTTTCGGCCCGAGCGAATAAACACACAGAGAGAGCATATGTCGCATCACATGTCGCACATAGCGTCACATTGTTTCGCTGATGAGGACGAACCGAGAATTATTTTCATGTCCGCGCACGAGAAAATGAGAAAAGTTAGGGTCGCGCGTTCCGCGCTCGGTCGCACGCGGAAAACACGACAGACTGATTACGAATCGCCCCTCTGCGAGAAATAAAACAACAACGTGGTCAAGAACGAGGGAGCGGTAATTCGAGCCCGACATTCTGACGAGATCGATCGCATCGAAGAGTTTTGCAACGCTAATCCGTCGGAATGGATTTCGTCGATGCTGCGCAAAAGAGCTGGCGTTCCTATTGAATTATATTTCGCTCGCGAATAATCTCGTAACAACGACGTAGTTGCAAGAGTGCAATTAACGGGTTGCACGTGCGTGATGTTCGATTCTTCATAAATTTAATTCCGTTCAATGACGGGAGCGCGCGAAATTACGACCATCCCGGCTGAACGTATCTTTCCGTCCATTCGAAGTGGTTAATCAATCAATTCACTTTCTGCGAATAAATCGTCGCGAAATATAGTAAATTGTTTTCAATTAGTTTTTTTTATCAAATAATGATTATACGAATATTAAAAAAAGAGAAAGAGAGAGGGACACGTAATATTGGATTTTAGAAATTATTTCATAACGAGGCCCATAATTACTTTATGTAACGTGCGTCGATGCCCAGTGGGCATCTTCGCCGCTTATCGAATTCCAATGAAGGTGCACACGTATCTAAGATTTTCTTTTTACTCGTGTGCGTCTGCAACATATGATTATGCGCACGTAATGAAAGCATTTCCCGTGGACTTGATCACTTGGGGATATTAGTTCGCAGATTATTTAGCTCATCCGACAAGCATACGCACGTAATCCCGAGCTCCCGGAATCCTACGGGAATCTCCTTTTATACTAATTGAAAGTACTTACTGTCATTTTTCCCCCCGGAGAAAAAAGCAAGCGTAACAACGTAGTTGTCCGCCATGATATCTTCATCTTTCCTTGCGTAATCATTCTCTTCCGCCGCGGCATTTACTAATTTCCTTTTGCGTCGACGTTCTTAATTCCTTCCCTCTCAGGTTCATCTTACGACTGTCGAGAGCAGATCATAAAGTCGCGAACATAACGTCGCAAGTGGAACGTATTAAAAATCGAATCCCTTCGGAGACCATTACGACCTGTGCTCTCTCGAGGAAGCAACAGCACGGTCTCGTAATTATCGACAAAGTTCCGCAATTCGTTACCGTTTCTCCGATAATTAGTTATAAGCTGCAAGTATCCACTCTCGTGATAAGTATAAAGTTTACAAAGACGCGTATAAAATCTATATTTCTCCAACGCATTATATACACGGAAAAAAGATTCTTCTGGATTTCATAAAATTTCTTTGGAACAAAGCCAACAAACAAATGTTTAATTTAACAAACAGGATTTGTGATGTTTGGTTTTTCAAACAAAATAAATATTTTTACGTTAAATAACGTATTTCCTTTGTATTTTCACCCATAAGTTGCAATGGTTGTTATAAGCAATAAATTATTCGAAAGGAGTAACACTATATTAGAAAAGTATTAAAAAACTTGTTTGTTTCAGTGAAACAATATTTAACACATAAAATAATTTTTTTTAATTGGAAACGAAATATTATTTTCTCTAAATAATACTGTTTTTTCTATCAAAAAACCTGGTTTATTTTAGCGAAACAATATTTTCATTCAAACCAAGCGGTATGTGATATTAAATTATGTTGTTTGCATTAAAAAAGTCTCCCAAATCAAATAAACACGCATATTAAATCCAAAGAAATATTTTTCTCTATATATAATTAAAATATTACTAAAATAAAAGAGATTATATACGACACGAAGAATTGTTGGTTGAAGAATGTCAAGTATGGAAAAAGTGAAACGAGTTTCTGGAAAACGTCATCTTCCGTTTTCTGCGTTCCTTACGATTGCCTGATGTGGCGATTAACGACTAAATATCGGCCGATGGAGGCCTCAGACGAGTGACACGGGATCGTGGTACATGTGTGACGCACTTCATAGGGAAAAGTTCGGCGTCACTGTCATAGCAAGTCGCGAGGATATAAGTCTCGTGTAAATAGCTCGCGCACAACCGTCGCATACACGTTCACGTGCACACATCGATCGCGTGACAGCATTGCCGCCGCCGTGGTCGCGCTCTTATCGGTATGTATTCCATGCTCGCGCTCTTGCGGAAGCGGCGGCTCGATTATCATGCTAATCGCGATTTATAATCCCGATGATGCGAACGGTAAACACGGTGAGTGTTCGTGACGAATTGGCCGTGTTTCTTCCCGTCGAGACGGCACGCGCTCAACCGGCGAATTTCTCACGCAGAAGAGGCCGGCGATTACGGTGGAAGATAACAGGGATAATGACAACGTCGGCAACGCCGCTGATGAATGAACGCCGGCGACAATGACTGCACTCACTATTCACCACTGGCGTCGCGATGACGACGGCGGGGCGAGGGGGAAAGCTGCTTTGGAGGATTAATGCGCCGGCACGGGGACTAGTTTTGCAACTTGCACCGCGAAAAAATGCGTTTTTCATGCCGCGTTTTGATGGGAAAACTCGTATTCTGTTTATAGATATATCCGTGCACGTTTCCACACGTGGGGAATATTGCTCTGGGAAAATTTACGATTCGAAATTGTAAGCTGCATGATCGGCGGAAGAATGGATACAACGGCAAGATAAACAGATCGTTATGCACCTGTATACACAGAGATATATGAAGTAATGGAAAAAAAAAAAAACAGTTTTTCCATAAAACCGGACACGTGAACTTTCGATGCCCCGTTCTT